AATGAAATTCACAACATGATACTGAGAAGAAGAGGAAAAAAATTGGGTGATTGAGGAAAAGGAAATGAGATTTTTACTTTAAAACTGTGGGAATCATTGATTAGATTGAGTTACTGTAATGATTTATTTCAATTTCAATTGTTTGTTGATTTGTCTGTTTATCAGCAATTTATCATCATAAATAAATGAAGTTTCAAGTTTTACTGATCATCATCATCATCATCATCATACAGAACAATCAATCAAAAAACTGATCTCATGGTAATCATGATATAAAACTATCCAGAATCTGTATCCATGAATTAACATGTTATGATTATGATAATCATGGTTATTGTCTGATCTTTCATATTGATTGGATGAGTGAACAAAAATTAACATGAGATCAATTAAAGCATCAGAGAGGAAGAAAGTGAAAAAAGAAAGAAGATGAAATGAAGATGATGAGTAGTTGGCAATGAAGATGATGATGATGATGATGATGATGAGAGGAAGTACTGGAAATTCAAGATACCATGAAAAAGATACAGTTGTGAACAGCCAACAAGTGTCAACACCAGAATTCAGGTAAGATACTGAAAAGATGATGATTTTCAGTGGAAGACAAGAAAAAGTTGTCTCATCAATTGTGTTGACACTTTCAAACTGAGAAAAGTGATGATGAAGATAATGGTGATGATGATAATTCTGTTGACATCAAAGTGACAATTTTCCATGTTTTTGTCTTCTCGTCTTCTTCTTGACGGTGGGAATAATAATAATAACAGTTTCGTTGGAAAGACATGAAGAAAGTATCAAAATATTACATTCGGAGGTGAAAAAATTCTGAGAGATTTGAAAAGTAGTAACACTGAGAATCTCATGTTAACTCAGCTTGTAAAAGGAAAACTTATCCAAACTATACTGATAAATAATCTAACAACTTTGATTGATTGATGATTTATTGGAAACATTTAATTGCACAATCGTTAACACTTCGAGAAACTTAATTACATTCCCTTGTTATTGAAAGATTTCATTATAATACATTTACTCATCGTTAATATTATGAATAAATATTTTCTATTGATGGTTAGTATGTTTATCTCAGATGGTGGACATCACTTGAGATACTGGTCAGTAGAGAGTAGGCTCAGTTTATGGTGATGCAGTTTAATTAGATGGACCATTATTTACAATAAGAAGCAATCAACCCACCAGGTAAGTTTCATTTACCTTATTACACAAAGTAAATACTAAACTTAATGGTGATGAAAAGATGACCATAATATTGGTCATTATTTTGCTAATCCATTTGTTCCGGTTAACCTTAAATGGCTTATGAGATTATTATTATTATTCTTACCGTCATCTTGTCTTCATTATTATCATCATCATCATCTTCCTTGAGATAATTAGTTTCTTATCTTGTTTCTATTGTAATTGATGATGGAGATGAGGATGAGGATGGAGATGGAGATGGGGATGGAGATGAGGATCAAGATGAGGATCAAGTTTAAAAGGTCATGTGAATATGTATTCTCATTGTATGAACAGCATCTTCATATTAACCATGTGTTTTACTGTTTTCATCAGTAGTTATCATCATCTCCATCATCTTTACTCAATCATGCTGAGTGATCATCATCATCATCTTTTCATCTTCTTCTTGATTCTTTCATTTTGATCATAATTTTCCTTCGCTGTTGATGTTAACTTACTTTTCCAACAAATTATCGTAATTATTCAGTTATGCATATCAGTATTCAGAACACTTCCTTCACCCTCATCCTCATCTTTTATCATCTCTTTCAATTTACGATTTTTTTTTCAATGAAAATTCATTTTCAACGGTTTTCTTTCATCATCATGATTCTGATGGAGATGATTAAACCATGATGATGATATCAACTGACTACCGATCGTTTTTATTTGCCTTGTTTGTCATTACAAGAAGTTTACACCATAATTTTAATTACAATTGATGATAATTAAGATTAGAATCCAATTTTCTTTAAGAAAAAATTATTAAGAGATGCTGATGGTTAGTGTGGTGAGGGAGGATGAGGATAACTTGGAGAAAGAAAATATTCCTGTCAATCACTTTTTCTCAATTTACTTTTCCATTACATTGATGCTTTTATATAAGTTTTTCGTTTTATCCATTGACTATTTTTGAATCTATTGTTTTAATCTTAAAGGTAAAGATTAAAATCAGAAGGAGGAAGAAGAAGAAGAAGATTTCAGGAACTGGATTGAGATTATTGTTTAATCTTAATCTCTATCACTTTGTTTGATTTTGATAATAATAAAGTTACTACGATTGTTAAGTTGGATTAATTTTCACCTTATTATGATTTGATTGTTAACTGATTAACACTTTTACCGATTAACTTAACGTTTAATTTTTTGATGATACGGTTAATGATTAATGACAATGAACCTTTTTTTTGTTGTTACACAATTGGATTAGTTTAAGATGAGAATGAAAATTCTTTGAGTAATTAAGCTTAACAATTTAAATTTACGGATTAGATTATGATAAAGCTAAAGCTTTTGTTATGATTTTGAAACAAAATCTTAATCATTGTGAGTAATTAACAATAAGATTAATCATCTCTCAGGTCTAATTGTGAATTGACTAAGAGAAATTATATGATAATTGTTATATTTATAATTTCTAATTGACAACAAATTAACTAATTGCTACTCAATGGGATAAAATAAAAAAGGTCAATGGCTTTATAAGACAACAACAATTAAGGAAAACAATCAATTAAGAATTAAAAAATTAAGCTTTGACTTTCAAGGTAAGAGGCAAGGAGAGAGAGAGAGAAAAAACAATCGACCAATCAATTTAATTGTAATTAACTTTAATTGTTCAACAGTTTACTAACCTTGTTGTTAACTAATTGTTTTTGTACAATTTAATACAATACAAATTCAATAATAATAATATTTAATAAATGTCAAGTATTTTTAAATCACAATCGTTGATCACAAAATCAGCTACAACAATCAAGTTTAATCACAATTAAAGTCTAGTCACTACAATAGCAATTAAAGGGGAAATGGTAACAAAATGATTACCTGTATAAATATATATGATAGATTAACAATATTAATCAAACAATTGTATGGATTAAATTGTAACAATTAAGAGTAAAAAATGTTAACTTTTTCTCGTTTTCATCTTCAAATTCAAGGTATCATGTTGATTGTAATAGTTAACTAAATAGCTGAACATCAGAGTGACCTGAATAAAGATGATGATGATGATGATGATGATGCTAGAGAAAGGATAATAATAGTGATGAGGATGATAATAAGAAGAGGAAAAAAGTGAGTAAGGGTGAATTGTATCCATTGAAAGTTACAATCATTAACTGTTAAAATTGACTGGACAATTGAACGAGTATTTAATTGACGTAACAATCAACCAAAAAACGGATAATAATAAGCAATCAGTTATTATTATATTCATTTTTTTCGTTGAAACTTGTTGTCTTTTGTTACTATTGATGTTTGGTTAAAAAATTGGTTGATTGTGATTGTTAGGGTGACAATTAGTTGTCAACTAATTGTGACATTTGTTAACCACAATCGAAACACATGTAACTTGATTGTTGAACTTTTTTAATTGTTGTTGTTACATGAAGATGAGAATCGTTGAGGGAAAAAAAACTTATTGATTATTGATTATCGATTATCTAATATCTAAATGGATTCAGTTGAGACAAAAAGCAAAATTTACTTTCATGTTTGTTAATCAAGGTGAGAAAATCAAATCGGATTAACGGTTAATATCGTTAATGAAAATCCCATTGATTAGATGACATAGTAATCGGGATGATGATGAAATTCACATTATAATGATGAGGATGATGAGGATGATTATCTTCAAGAATTAATGTTAATCTCTCTTTGAGAAAACTTTTTTGTTTATCTCTTTTCTTTTCTCTATTCTATTGAACGTTTTTTTTTTCTTATTAAATTAACTCAATTATCGTTAAAAGTTTTCTCGTGATTAACTTATTATTATTGTTATAAAAATCTAATTAACGATTCACAGATTATCATCATTCACATTATAATGATATCACAATGAGAGATTGTAATGAAAAATAATACAAAATTAATGGGCAATTGTGATGATCATTATTGTTGTTTTTTTTTCTGTGTTCGTCATTTTGAAATTAAATTGAGATTTTGATTCCATATCATGGTGATTAATGAACTAATCTAATCTATCATGATGACCCTTATATGGCTATTATTTCACTATGGGAATTGAATTTTTCTTTATTTGATTTAGATTCGGTTCAGAAGATGATTACATTTAAAATCCATGAGAAGTTAATCTGAGAAAAAATTTAGAGAAAAAGTTTGAAACTTTTTCTTTGAAAATTTTACCGAAAAACAAACTAATAATATCTTTTCAGGGAATTAGAACTTTTTTATTTTTCTATTTCTCTTACTCTATCATCTTGAAATAATATCATTGATCCATTGGAGATTAATGATATAATAGTAATAAGCTTAATCACATTGATAGACAATTAATTTGGAAACGAGAAAAATTTCCAAAACAATTGAACAGTTTCCCTTTTGAATTGTTTACAATTTACAATTGGAAGCTCAGGTAAACTCAATCTTCTTTACCATCAATACTTATTAAGTTACGATTATCATGAAACCTAATTGTTTACAATCTAATGTTCAACAATCAGTGATTAATATGATTCTCATCTCACATGAATATAAATACACAGAATTAACGATAACAATAATGATAAGTTTCCTTTGATTTTTTTTCTTCTCTCAATTTATTTTTCATCTTTTTCTCTCTACCTGTTGATTCAGTTGACTGATAATTATACCAATTGAGAGAAAAACATCACAATCAGTTGTAGTTATGGTGTAAATTTGGATTGATTTGATGATGAGGAATTGAATGAATTGATGAATGAAACATTGATTAAAATTACTATTAATAAATAATAATAATACGATTGACTTACCGTTAAATTTTTTAATCCTTTGAAAATGTTTGAATCTAATGCTCTCAGTTGATTATAAGATAAATCTAGTGATTGTAATGATGAGAGAAGGTAAAATTCATTGGTTGAGAAGATTGGATTTAATGTATCACCAAGTAGATTGTGGGAGAAATTGATTTCAATTAGAGTTGATTCAATTCCGTCAAGGAAACGCTCATGGAAACGTCTCAATAAATTATGGGAAAAATCAAGTCGACGTAATTTAATTCCACTGGCGGTAAACATTTGTGATTGTAAACTTTGAATACCAGCATTTCGTTGGGAGTAGCTTGATACACGGCGGATGAAAATCGATGAGGGTGATTGATTAATAGTGCCAACGGGGGTGCTAGCAAGTGTATTGGTCAATTGGTGAACTGGAAATGGTCCGAAAAATGGTACAGAGTCGCAATTAATTGAGGTTATATTGTTTGGCTCTAAGGTACAGTAACAGGGTAAACTTTGTAATCCAATGTGATCTGGTAAATCACGACAAGGAATTGATTGTTGATAATGATTGGCGTTTTGTGGCTGTGATTGTGATTGTGATTGTGTAGCTTGTTGTTGATTTTGAGCTTGTGGTGCAAAATTTTGATGCCGATTATTGTTGGGGCTTGATTGTGGTTGAGATGGCGATTGACGATTATGATGATTATGATGATGATTGTGATTAACTTGAATATTTGATGCTGTTGTTGGCAATCGAGGTTGACAATTAGCAACAATTAAACACAAATTGATAATTATTGTTGTCAATAAAAATTTAACCAATGAATGTGATTGTTTATTGGCATTGGGAAGATGATGATGGACACTTTTCACTTTACAATATTCAGCTGATTTAAACATCACTTGATGCTTATTGTCATCATTTTCAACACAATCAACGATACTTTTAGTATGTTTCCGACTGGACATTAGATTCAAAGATTGTATCAAATATTGTTGATCCAAAACTGGGTGACAGTTTCGGTCTAGTTCTGGACAAACTGTTTTCAATGTCGGTGTTGACCATTTGCTGTTGGTGTGTTTACATTTCATGATGATGATGATGATGATAACAATTAGAACGAAAAAGAAAACAAATCAAATAAAAAAAACACGTTTCTCTCTCTCTTTCTCTTTCAATTTCTATTTGCAGAGACAAAAAATTAACTAATCAGCATCAAAATTACATAAAGATTTCGATGATTAGGTGGAAGATAAAATTAGATGATAGAGTAACATTGAGAGAGAGAGAGATTAGATGAGTAAAAATAGAAGAGGTCAAAGAAAAAAAGATAGAATAGAATAGAATGGAAAAAATTATCAAAAATAAGATGAAAAAGACACAAACATGAAGCCCTCAAGGTATATAAGATTTTTTGGTAAAAAGAAAGGTAACAAAAGGAACCACGAAAAAAAAAGAAGATGTGAAGTGATCAACTGACGGTAAAATCATCAAGTGAAACAGGTAAACCCGATTTAAGATGTTGGTTCTACCTTGATGATCATCAGAATGAACAACTGAACGAAAGACCGTTTACCGCTTTTCTCCTTTACAATCCAATAGATGGCACTGCGATTCCGCCTTTTTTTCGTATCAAATTTTAATTCGTAATTACAATTAACTGGACAATTAAGCGATCAAGTGATTGAATTGAATTCGAAAAACTTTGAGTTTTTTACTTTCAAACTTTGGATTTTTTTTTCCTTCTCTTTTTCTATCAATAGTTGTAAACTTTATCTAAATTAAGTGTTGGTGTTGATGTTGATTGTCCAGTTTGATTGGAAATTAATTTATCTTTAGTTTGATTGTGTTTAATTGTGCCCGTATGTATTTTAATTATGTTTGGTTTTCCGTTTATTTTGGGTCCATTGAAAGTTAATTGTGATTGTTTTCAAGAGTCCAATTTGGTTTTGTATTGTCAATGGTACTGTTGCTAATTGGTGAAGTTTTTCATCATACTAATTAGTTGATTATTATTTTACTTTTGTATCATTGTTTCAGTTAATTAGAGCAAGTGATTAATTTTAATTATATATAAAACTAATACATCCTTAGCTTGTCATTATCAATTAATCAAGAATCAAATTAAACCTGCAAAGTTAATCATTTCTAATACAATGAAATCGTTTAGTTTAATTGTTGATTAGAAAAATAAAACTTGGTCATCTTCTTTGTTTCTTCAACTATTCTGATATAATTAAGATTATTAAGAATTTATTTAATCAATTAAACAATCAATTGATTATGATTTTCAATGATAAAAGACAATTAAACTTTTTTTGTTGGGATAATTAAAAATCTAAATGTTTACCATCCCCAAAAACCAAAGAAAAATTAATATTGTTAAAGAGAATCTAAATAATAATTAAAGGCAACCCTTAATTTCGCTTAACAATCCAAAAATCTCCAATCTTAATTGCTAGAAATTAGTTAATTGTTTCATCATCTGAGAGAAAAATTTTTTTTAGAAAAAGCGTCAACTACGCCATCTATTGTTCCGAATACCAACTAAAGAAAACCAGATTTTCCAATAAAATGTTCAACTTTCTATTAATTTTGACAATTAATATTCTAACCAATTAGTTAATTTTAATTAGATCCCGATACCTCGATAATTGCTCCTTCATGATACTTATATGCTGAATGAATGGACGATCCATCTTTCCATTACTTCATTTGGATTCATGAGAAAGTCATTTTTGTATTTCGATTGTGTTTTATTTTCCATTGATAAAGTTAATTGTTCCTGGACAGTTAATCATTCAAACTGAATCAAGAGATTCAATATTTACATGGAAATGTTTTGTTTGGTCTCCACTTGTAAACAATAACAAACTAACTTGTTATACTTTGGTCAACATGGGTAAATATCGTGATCATTTCAAGTACATCCTTAGATTATATTGATTATTTGTCTACAATTAACTAATTAGATAAAACCAAATTATCTAATGTAGACTGAGATTATCTGTTAATCAAGTTCATTTATTTTGTAGACATCAAACAATCAATCTGTACCATAGAAAATTAAATATCTAATTACCTTTGGCAAAATTTTCTTCAACTATCAACTAATATCAGTTAATAGCTACAATCAAGTTGATGGAAACAGCGAAATGATTAAGATGATGATTCTCTAGGTGTGTCTCTCATATTTCTGAACACGAATTAGACAAGAACTTATCATGTAATCGTTAATCGTTAATATCGTACAAGAGAAAATATCATCTTCAATAGAATAGAATTTGTTTTAGAAAAAAAAAAGTTATTCTATTAAGATAATTTCACTTTTTATTTTATATTCGTTGTAATGATTTAGCGATTTTCTAACAAATTTCGAGTTCTAATTGTTATCATGATGATGATGATCAACAAGAAGAGGAAGAAGAAAAAAACGTCAAGTAATCTGATTGTTGATAAATAATCAATTTAATTGATGATTTCAAATTCTTAAAATGATTCAGTTGATTTGATTCGTTCTAATTGTTCATCATCAAACAATCAATAAACCACAAGAGTTGATCAGCTGAACAATCAGCAATCCTAATCCAACATTATCCATTATTAGTTTTGTTTACCTGTAAAAAAGTATGTGATACAATTGATTAGATAATTACAATTACGTTGGGAAAATACTCACTAGACATGATTAACTTAATCAAATCAATTTAATTATCTTTTTCCTTGACAGATCAGGTGAATCGGAAGACGCCCTTACCTTTTTCACCAACCACTGGCTTAATAACAACAACGAACCCAAGGGTTGAACACATACTGAGAGAGAATCATCTTCATCTTCATCATCATTATCATCATCATGCAAACATGGAAGATAAAGAAAGAGACATAGACAGAGATGATGGATAGATTGACAGAGAACGAGTGAGAGAGAGAGAGACAAACGAATGTTAAAAAACATAAGATTGTATGTATTGTATCACGCATTTGTTTTTCGAATGACCAATGATGAGAAATGATGATAAATCCATAACGTAAACTTTTCTCTTTCTTTTTCTTCCATGGGTTAGATGAATGGGTAAGAGAAGAGAAGAAGAAAAAAATTCTCTCTAATTAACTTTTCTTTTCTTTTTTCTTTTTCACCAAAGTGTCTACTCCACCCAAACCTTTTCCTCATTTTCCATCATTTGTGATCATTTCTCTCTGGTTGTGATGAACGTTTAAACGTTTAGAATCTTAATCGATACCGAATTCGAAAAAAAAAATTTACAAAGAAAAGTTGAACAAAAATTCTCTTTAACCTTTGACATTGTATTTGTACATCTTTCCATTGTTTTCTTTTGTCACCTGTTCTCCGTTGGAAAGGTAATAATTCTCATCATTTTATATTCTCTTTGTTTTCCCACTTTAATCATCGTTTGAATTCAATTATCATCCGGTAAACATTTTCATCTTCATCTTCATGGAACTGGTTGTTTTTATTTTCGATTGTGTATCAACAAATCATCTGGTTGCTTTTTCTCTTTCTACTCTTTCGGTTTCTCTTTTTTTTTTAAAATCTTCTTTTCTTTTGGTGCTTTGTGATCTCTTTTCTTTTTCTCATGATTAGGCCTGAGAATTGAGGTTTTCTATTCTCTCTCTTGTGTTTTTCTCTTCTTCTTTTCTGTGACTTATCTTTTGTTCTTCATCATATCTTTGTCTCTCCTGTTGCTCATTATCAATTCTTTATGGTTATTTTACTTCATCAGAGATCATTGTAATTATTTTCTCTCTCTTATTGTGTCTCCTTTGTTTATTTGTTTTTGATTCTCTTTCTCTCTCTCTCTCTTGATGATTTTCTATTCTTTTGATGATTGGGTTTCCATTAACCAAACGATCAGTTGATTGAAGTTATTTTTCTCTCTCTTTTTTCTGTTTATCCAGGTTGGTGTTATCTCTTTGAATTTGTTCATTTTTCTATTCCATTTTCCTGATCAACCATGTCATCGGTGCCCAAAAGTGAGGAGATTCACACCATTCAACTTGGCGTTGAAGTTGGACCAACTCATGATGATGAGAATCTCAAATGTACTATAATTGAGGAACCTGATACAAGTGGAGATGGTGATCCACCTGATGGTGGTGGTGGTGGTGGTTTCGGTGGTGTCGGTAGTTACGATGAGAGAGATTCATCTTTATCCAATAGAAATAGTATCAACTTGAAACGATTTCCATCTTCATCATCTTCTCCTGGATCAACACCGATTAAAAGTGTCCCATCAACACCTAATCGAATCAAACGAAGTGAATCTTCATCTTCAGTTATTGGCCTTTTACCTTTAACACCAACAACACCCACTGGTAATCCGCCCTCTTCACCCTTGACCAAATGTCCACCAAGTCCGACCATCGATGAGGGACCAACTATCGGTGTTTTAGAGCCAGAAATGTTCACCGGAGTGGAAACAATCGTCGTACCTTCCGAACCTGATTTAACCAATTACAATACAGTTGAATTAACTTCCATTGGTGAAGAAAAGACAAAATTTCAATTCTCTTCAAATCATAACAATGTCACATTTCACCGGAGATTCCCACAGGTTGACCCACAGGAAAGATTAATCAATTGTGAGTTGTTATTTTCAACAACAAAATCCTCAAAGAGTTAATTGTTCAAGTGTGAAAATCTTCCTGATTAATCATGACCATGGAAGAAAAAATTATCAAACCCAATCAGACAATAGATATCCTAAATTTACCTTTAATTGAGATAATCAGCAAGTCGGATTGGCCTCGTCAATAACAGCAAAGAATCAGTAAATCGTCAAAAATTACGATCCCAAATTGAGATCAGCTTAATCTTTATGATTAATTGTCTACATTAATATTAATCAGGACAAGAATCAGTTGATTGTTATGAACAATTTACTTGCCACACATTTGAAAAAAGAGAAAAACAAAAGTTAATCATGAAGGCGCGTTAATCAAATTATCATAATGATTAAGATAATTTATTAAATTACTTTATATATTAACAAATAATATGATAGAAAATCTATCGATAAAATTCCCAGTGAATTAGATTTGAATCATTCATTCATTTTATTGGAAAGAAATCTAATTCATTTATGGAAAACGACCTAATACAATAATCTAATTGATTTTCCAATATTTTCGACAGAAATTCTATTGATTTGATTTGATTTTTTTTCTCCAAATTCTAATTTCTTTTTGTTTTCTTCTCTCTTTCCATTAGATTATTCGTGTGCCCTTCAAGCGGATATCCTGTTACAAGGTTTTCTTTACATAACTGAAAATTTCTTCGCCTTTTATTCAAACATTTTAGGACTTTACAAGACAAAGGTACAACAATTAACATCGAGAGATCAATTATCACCATTAACTGACCATTAACCGATAACTATATTGATGTAAATTATTACTATTACTTTTTACCAAGACAAGTGTATATTTAGATGTTGTTATCATTATTTCCTGCCCATAATTATTATACTCGTAGTAGTAAATGGTAATAGTAGTAATTTTGGTTGGTACAATTGCAATTGATTTGATTGATTAATTGATTTTTCCTTTTTCTTTTTCATTTCTCTCTATGTTGTTGGTCATTTGGTCATCTATTTGTTGAGATAGTTATTGGTTCCAGTTTGTGATGTTAGAGATATTACAAAGGAGAAAACAGCAATTATCATTCCGAATGCTGTTGGAATTGAAACTCATGAAGGAAAAGTGAGTTGGATTTAAGTTAATTTACTCAAAAATCCAATCATACAATCATGTCTCAGTTGATTATTTCACTATCAATCTCAGAGATTAGTTAATAATGATGTATTAATTGTCTTTTTTTTTCTCTCTCTCTCTCTCTCTCTCTCTCTCTCCTGATAATAGTATGTATTTGGATCGCTTTTGTCCCGAGAATCGACTTATCGATTAATGGTTGAAGTTTGGAAGAACACAATCTCGGTAATTAATTGTCTCTCTAATTAACTGTCATTAACCTGCAACACCTAACCTGTAAGGAGTTAAACATGTATAATGAATCTTAGTGAAAAAAAAGTTGTCTCACTTTAATTGATTAATCAATTATCGTCAATCATTGATATATAAATCATGATAATACATGGAGATAATATTAACTGATTGATTATTCAAATTGTGTGAAAAAAAAGTATGATTTAGTTACCAACTGACTGAATTAACCTTGACTATCTAGTTGATAGTTAATTGTTACTCCTATTCCTTTATTTTTCTTACCTCTTTTTAATTTACCCCTTAATTGTTCAATGAGATTTCATTGAGATGACCATCAATGAATAAATATTCATTACATAATAGATTATGATCATTGTCATCAATTGAAGATAATTATCTTTGATTGATGGTCGTTAGTTTATCTTGACATGATCATTAATATAATCATTTTACACAGCAATTTATTAGTCATAAAAATTGATCATAATATATTCAATCAAAACAATTATCTCAATTTTCTTAATGGTTTAGCTTAAAGGTACATTTGGATAGATTACAATTAGTATAATGAGTTTCATTTTCAACCAATTAATTGAGTTTTAAGGTTTATTGATTCAATCGTTTTGATAGTTTAACGAAGTAAATTGTAAAAATCAGCAATTGTTTCATTTCTGTATCAATGGTGTTAATAGTAATTGTTAATCAGTTGCTTTGAGTTACCATGAATAATTGAAATTCAACTGAATTTTAATATCTATTGTTTTTAGTGGAAATAATTAATTCTATGATATTGATGATCTATGATAATTAAGATTATGAACTAGATTTTTTCATCTCTCTCCAACGATTTGATGAACACAATTAGCCCAGTTGATTGAGTGTTTTTCCAGCTTATCGTCGTAATTAAGTAAATGTGAAACTAAATTGTTGTACTTTTGCCTCTTAAACCTAAACCTAAAACTAACAATCACTAATCACCAATCTAAATTATCTTAATAACACTGCTAATTAACCAATTAACTAACCCAAAGCTGGAATTAAATTGTTATCTAAAGCGCGGCTCTTTTCAGATGGACACTTTTCCTTTTGACCAATTGAGACCGGCTCAAGAGGCCATTACAGATAACGGTAATTCATCACCGTCAACACCCACCAAAGAGGATACAACATCACCATTAAAATCAATTGTTGCTGTTAACGTTAAAAGTGACAATATTTTAACCACTGGACAATTGTCAGGATTGGTTGATGGAGGATTAACTGTTGTTGGTCAGTCTTCAGCCTCATCCTCATTAAAACGTAATACTAAATTGGTACTTCGGTCAAAGGGTAAACAACAACGACATGGTTTCCAAAACTGTAGTGACACAAGTACACCTGAGAGCACAAGTGATGCCGATTATGGTGCTGGTGATGAAACTGTGATAATGGGCAGGGGGGCAAGTGGGATGACCACTTTAGGTGGACTCTCAAAGGAAACTGGACATCGGAAAAGTAAATTAATCCTTTTGTATTTTTAAATTTTAATCCATGAGAATAATATTTATATAAATAGTAATGTTTATCTATCTCTAAATTGTCAAGGTAAACTAATGGTTGATGGATGGAGACGATTATCAGTAACAATTAAATCAATTAGAGAAAGACTTAAAAGGTAAGCTTTTTAATGGATTTAATTTGATTACTTTGTCACCTTTTCAATCATTGACAATTGAAGTACAATAGTAACAAAATTGATTTTCTTTGAGAATGACATTGATTCTTGATTTGATTCTATTATCAAAATATAATAAGAATGATTAGTTTAAATTCAGCAATCAAGGAAATTTTGACGAGAAAAACAACTTAATATGATTAACAGTAATTCAACTCTATTGATTTACAAGTTAACTATCTTTGGACAAATTCAAGTCTATTAATAACCAACCAAACATATTAATCTGATTGTTTATTTTTAAATTGTTGTAACTAAAAAAATCCTCATGCAGGACAATCAGTGATGTTGGTAACAATCAAATGATTAGACTTTGATTGTGATCAACTGATCAACTTGATATTTCAATATTAATATTCTTGTAATAATAACTAAAGTTAAAGGTTGAATTTTTTTTCCTTCCTCTTGTATAAATATCAACTCAATTAACTCTAACAATTTACTAATTACTTTTAATCTTATCTTTTTCCTCTAGTGATTTAAACACTCCTTTCATTCATATCGCAATTATCATCTTGTTAACATATTTATTAATATCAACCGTTTGCATGATACCAGCCCACAAAATCTATTCGAGTCATTAACATCTAATCCAAAGTAAGTTGATCATTAGACCTTTAATCCAATGATCAACAATTTGAATCTTGATTGTTGTAACACATTTAATGATGATTATCTATTTCTTTTTTTCTTTTTTTTCTTTATTTCTTCCAATCAATTCAGAGCTCAGAGGATATTGAACAATATTCAAGTTGAACAGATACGAATGGATTTAAGTAAGAACATGATTAAAATGGATGATCTTAAATCTAGTCTATTGAATCTTTTGGTTCCGTTGAAATTTTCAATTCCAATTGTGCCAATCCAAGAGATGATCTTTTCAATGGTCAATCAGTGATACCTGTCCACCCACCGTCACGAGGAGGATAAACCTATTGATGGAGAGGAAAGGGAGAAAAGTTCAAAATTCAAATGTTTGATTAATCATCAAATCTAATTACTTCAAATCCTCTTCAAGTTAATTTCTCTCAATGGTAAACAGACACGTCAAAGAAATAAAGAGAGAGAGAGAGTGAGACTGTAATTAAGTGGTTACAATTAGCTGGATAAAGGGAAATGAAACAATCAGATCCCTTTAACAATCAACCTAAAAGTCATTTGATTGTCAACCATCGATCACGTTTTAGTTAATTATATACTTTTCCTTGGTAAACTCAATTCAACCAAATTTAATTATTACCAAATGACAATCTAGTTAAGAAAGGAACTAATTATTAAATCAAAAGAAAACCTATTTTAAATGTTGACTTTCTACACTTTTATCAGTTTATATTAATTTGGTTTATTATTTGATTTGATCAATTTGATTGGGAAGATACATTTAAATTGTAACTTTTTGTTTTGTTTTTGATAAACCAGTTTGTACATTTGATTGTGAAAATGTACTTTTGTTAATTGTCCGAACTGTTATTTAATCTCTGGTTGTGGTTTTTATGTAATTTAACCTTGAGATATTCAACACTTTCAATTTGAATCAAGTTTAATTACAATTAGATAATCAGAGAAATTGCTTAGTTATAATCAAGTTGTAATTGAATATTTGATATAACATCCGAGACTCTGATTGAAGATTCAACGAGTTTAGTTAACTAATTGTAATTGTGATTCTCATGGTCAATCAAAGTAAAACAAACGAAAGAATCAATCATTCAGTTATTACATTGAATTTGAATAAAACAAAATAACAATTAAAAGTAATTCAATTATTTAAAATATCAATTTAATTGTTCTTTTTTTCTGATTAAAATCAAAAATGTGATGAAAGGTAAAAATAGTTACAATGTTTTAAATTGTGTTCGTTTGTGTATGTGACTTGGAACAGGTTTAAGACTTTTGATTGCGATTAAACAATCAATAATCGTGATTATGACAATTATGAGACACACACACAAAACGATATAAATGTATATGTAAATATAAACAGCAATGGAATAGGAGAAGAAAAAAATAAGTAGAAATGATTTTAAATTGTAAATGATGTTTAACATATCAAATATATTAGGAAGAGGGAAACAGGTAAATCTATTAAGATGATTAAAGTGTATTTTTAAATGTTGATTGTTTGATTTTCGGTTGATTAGTTGATCAAATGATCAATTGATTCACCGAACCCATAGAACCTTAACTTTTGAAAATACTCGGCGTCTCATCTTGGTTGATAAAACTCCAACCTGTTTAACGACATTTTGAATGACATTTAGATCAACAGCCTTTGAATTTTCAGAGTCTCCACTTTGTTTCTTTCTTCTTCTCCTTCTTTAATTTCCTCTTCCAAAGGTGGTAAATAATAGTCGACAGTCTTGTTGGTTAAATCCATTGCAGAGTTGACAATTTTCGACAAATTTTGTGACATTACTCGCCTTCTCATCTTATAGGATAAGGCACCAACCTTTTTAGCCACATTACCAAGAGTATTGGGATCACTTGATTCTTCATTATCATCAGTTGTCTCCTCTTGTGAACTTGATTCCTTCATCTCTTCCTCAGAGGCTGGAAGGTAATAGTCAACCATTTTATTGGTCAAATCAACAGCAGAATTGACAATCTTGGACAAAGCTTGACCATAGGGATTATCAAGGACAACACCAAGTTTTTGGTATCCAAAAGCCATTAGATAAGAGACTTGCTCTTCACCATATTTACGTAATTTTTCAAATTGAACCAACATTTTAAATACAATTGCAAAGATTTCACTTGTTAAACAAAATACAAATAAACACAATTAAATCAAACAAAAAAAATTCAAGAAAGAATCAATCACAATTCAATGAGTAGAAACGTTGACAATTAACTAATGACAATTTAAAAATTAAATTCAATCTCTTTATATACAAATAACATTTCCAGAAAGTTCGGTCACGAGCGCCATCTCTTGGATGGAATATCAACTTTTCTGGTTACTCGCCAAAATCTAAAACTCAATTGGCTCCAATCACAATCGAGCATCGTTGTTACTATGGTAACATGAATGATTAAATTCAACTTGTTAACGATAATTTAGATTATTAATTACATTGAATTTGATTCTAAATTGTCATTAGTTAATTGTCAACGTTACTGCTCATTGAATTGTGATTGATTCTTTCTTGAATTTTTTTGTTTGCTTTAATTGTGTTTATTTGTATTTTGTTTAACAAGTGAAATCTTTGCAATTGTATTTAAAATGTTGGTTCAATTTGAAAAATTACGTAAATATGGTGAAGAGCAAGTCTCTTATTTAATGGCTTTGGATACCAAAACTTGGTGTTGTCCTTGATAATCCTATGGTCAAGCTTTGTCCAAGATTGTCAATTCTGCTGTTGACCAATAAAATGGTTGACTATTACCTTCCAGCCTCTGAGGAAGAGATGAAGGAATCAAATTCACAAGAGACAACTGATGATAATGAATCAAGTGATCCCAATACTCTTGGTAATGTGGCTAAAAAGGTTGGTGCCTTATCCTATAAGATGAGAAGGCGAGTAATGTCACAAAATTTGTCGAAAATTGTCAACTCGGCAATGGATTTAACCAACAAGACTGTCGACTATTATTTACCACCTTTGGAAGAGGAAATTAAAGAAGGAGAAGAAGAAGAGAAACAAAGTGGAGACTCTGAAAATTCAAAGGCTGTTGATCTAAATGTCATTCAAAATGTTGTTAAACAGGTTGGAGTTTTATCAACCAAGATGAGACGCCGAGTATTTTCAAAAGTTAAGGTTCTATGGGTTCGGTGAATCAATTGATCAATTGATCAACTAATCAACCGAAATCAAACAATCAACATCTAAAAATGCACTTTAATCATCTTAATAGATTTACCTGTTCCTCTTCCTAATATATTTGATATGTTAAACATCATTTACAATTTAAAATCATTTCTATTTTTTCTTCTCCATTCCATTATATTTATATTTATATTTTGTGTGTGTCTAATTGTCATAATCACGATTATTGATTGTTTAATCGCAATCAAGTCTTAAACCTGTTCAAGTCACATACAAACGAACACAATTTAAAACATTGTAACTATTTTTACCTTTCATCACATTTTTGATTTTAATCAGAAAAAAAGAACAATTAAATTGATATTTTAAATAATTGAATTACTTTTAATTGTTATTTTGATTTATTCAAATTCAATGTGATAATTTGAATGATTGATTTTTTTAGTTTGTTTTACTTTGATTGACCATGAGAATCACAATTACAATTAGTTAACTAAACTCGTTTGTTGGAATCTTCAATCAGAGTCTCGAATGTTATATCAAATATTCAATTACAACTCGATTATAACTAAGCAATTTCTCTGATTATCTAATTGTAATTAAACTTGATTCAAATTGAAAGTGTTGAATATCTCAAGGTTAAATTACATAAAACCACAACCAGAGATTAAATAACAGTTCGGACAATTAACAAAAGTACATTTTCACAATCAAATGTACAAACTGGTTTATCAAAAACAAAACAAAAAGTTACAATTTAAATGTATCTTCCCAATCAAATTGATCAAATCAATAAACCAAATTAATATAAACTGGATTAAAAGTGTAGAAAAAAAGTCAACATTTAAAATAGGTTTTCCTTTTTGATTTAATAATTAGTTAATTTCCTTTGGGTTAACTAGATTGTCATTTGGTAATAATTAAATTTCCGTTGGTTGAATTGAGTTTACCAAGGAAAAAGTATATAATTAACTAAAACGTGATCGATGGTTGACAATCAAATGACTTTTAGGTTGATTGTTAAAGGGATCTGATTGTTTCATTTCCCTTTATCCAGCTAATTGTAACCACTTAATTACAGTCTCTCTCTCTCTCTCTCTCTCTCTCTCTCACTGTCTCTCTCTCTTTATTTCTTTGACGTGTCTGTTTACCATTGAGAGAAATTAACTTGAAGAGGATTTGAAGTAATTAGATTTGATGATTAATCAAACATTTGAATTTTGAACTTTTCTCTCTCCCTCTTTCCCTCTCTATCAATAGGTTTATCCCTCCTCGTGGACGGTGGGTGGACAGGTATCACTGGATTGACCATTGAAAAGATCATCTCTTGGATTGGCACAATTGGAATTGAAAACTTTCTCAACGGAATCCAAAAGATTCAATAGACTAGATTTAAGATCATCCATTTTAATCATGTTCTTACTTAAATCCATTCGTATCTGTTCAACTTGAATATTGTTCAATATCCTTTGAGCTCTGAATTGATTGGAAAAAAGAAATAAAGAAAAAAAGAAAAAAAGAAATAGATAATCATCATTAAATGTGTTACAACAATCATCATCAACAACAATCAAGATTCAAATTGTTGATCATTGGATTAAAGGTCTAATGATCAACTTACTTTGGATTAGATGTTAATGACTCGAATAGATTTTGTAATAAGCTGATCCGGTGTATCATGCAAACGGTTGATATTAATAAATATGTTAACAAGATGATAATTGCGATATGAATGAAAGGAGTGTTTAAATCACTAGAGGAAAAAGATAAGATTAAAAGTAATTAGTAAATTGTTAGAGTTAATTGAGTTGATATTTGTACAAGAGGAAGGAAAAAAAATTCAACCTTTAACTTTAGTTATTATTACAAGAATATTAATATTGAAATATCAAGTTGATCAGTTGATCACAATCAAAGTCTAATCATTTGATTGTTACCAACATCACCGATTGTCCTGCATGAGGATTTATTTAGTTACAACAATTTAAAAATATTGCTAACTCAGCAGATTTGGGCGCTACTCCCTCGTAAATCAATGGTCACTTAAAGACCAATTAGTGAATTAAATGACTTTTTCTCAATCATTTATTTGATTATCAATAAATCCTCATAGAATTTCATTATATTTACTCTTGATGTGAGATATTGATGATCTTTGGTCGAGCTTAGCCAATAATTGGGCTATAAAATCATTCCATACAAATAGAACCATATTGATCTTACATCTATGTATCTATTGTATCTATTTTGCAGATAATTTTTTTATCTATGCCAAGGTAATGAAACCATTTCTAAATTCTGTTCGACCCTATCACCTCTCACACGAACTTTTTGATCACCCTGTAATCTCTCAATTGATTCCGCAGCTAAACAATCTCCATCAGAGATAATGATATTTGGATAGATGCTAACAAAAGCTTTTAAATGTTTTCTGACAGGTTTGCTTATTTGATCAATCAAAATCTAATTAGCAACCAGTAATGTTCATCGTTACCATCATCAACTAATTAAATATTCTCAATTTTAATCTTGTGGCTTCTATTTTTGCTTTTCTTTATATATCAATAGTTCAAAAAAGGTAATTTACTTGTCAGATGAAAGTATATCAACAAGAAAAAAGGTCTCAGTTTTTTGTTATAAAAGTAACTGTAACTGTTAAAGTAGCTGAATTTATCTTCCCTGAGTCGATAACTGATCATTCTTATCCCAAGTTGACTATGAATTTCCTTGTTGCTTTTCTATGTTCTCATTTTACATTATTCAATATATTTTGTTCAATAGTTACAATTTGGTTAACTATTTCTGTTCTTCGTAATTTTATGTTTCTATATCGATTAACTCGATTCCCGACGTTTAAATCAGTTAAAACAATTATAGAGTTTCTTTATTCATATGCACGTGGTGACTGTAAGTATCTTACACTTATTTCATAAACTGATTTGTATATTTTAATGTATTTCACTTGCAGCGAATATCCATCTTAAAGTGTACAATGAACTAGAATCTTATATGGAGAAGTATGGATATTGTGTAATTTGGCTTCCATCATTTCCTATTATTTTTATTGGTCGACATGATCGAGCTCAAGTAAGTAATAACTTGAAGTTAATATGACTATTATAAAACTAATTCTTTTCGTCTAATGAACAAAGGAAATTGTTGGTAAACCAGCGATAATTGATAAGAGCGCGATCTTTACCCAATCTATAATATTTTTCGGCGACGGGTTATTTTCATCGAAAGGTGAGAAATGGAAGTCTCGTCGTCAATTGATTCAACGACAGTTTTCTACACTTTCAATTTCAAACTATCTTGAAACTATTCGTTCGCTCTCGGTATCTATCAATAAATCAATTAAACAATCGATGCTGAATGAAAATTCATCAGGTAGTCCGATGGATGTAAGAGGCTTTTTTTCACTTCCGACAATGTCAATGATCGTTAGTACAGTTTCTGATGTCGAGCTTCCTGATGATGAGTTGTCTTTTCTCAGCAAAGCGATGGAGAGATTTATTTATGAAACTCTCTGTCGAGTTTATCTACCGTTACTGAATCATGAAGCTATTTATAAAACTTATTCAAAAATCACTGGTGTTCAGAAGATGATTGATAAAACTAACCAAATTTTGATTCCTATTATAAGAGCTAAATATGATGAAATCAAATCGGATTTAATGGTCCAATCAAATATTGGAGACGATCTTCAAGATTTAGCTGATTTGAAATTGAATGAACACAAAAATGAATCAATTGGTGAAATAAAAAAGGCGAAATGTTTATGTGAATTTCTTTTAAGAACTTGGATTGAGCCTGGAACTGGATTAACACCAGAAATCGAATCAGCCATTTTGGAAGAAATGAAAGTCGTAATAGCTGCTGGCTCAGATGGACCAGAAACTCTAATGACTTGGCTCATTTATATTCTTGGCTGTTACCCTGAGTATCAGGAAATGATTTATGAAGAGGTTGAAAGTATTGACATTGAAAACTGGACAATTGGGACTGTCAACAGTTTTTCGTTTCTCGATCAGTGTTTTAAAGAGGCTCTTCGACTTTATCCTGCAGCTCCATTTAAAGTTCGAGCTACTGAACATGAACAAATTGTCGATGATAAGATTCTGCCTAAAGGTACGAAAATTATAGTCAGTATCTTAACCATCTTGAAAGACCCAAAGATTTTCCCTGAACCCTTTGAATTTAAACCTCAAAGATTTTCACCTGATGCACAGCCGAAAATTCCCGCTGGTGCTTATATACCATTCGGCTTAAGACCAAGAGATTGTATCGGCCAAAGATTGGCTCCATTTTACATAAAGTTCATTATTGGAACGATAATAAAATCATATAGATTTAAGTCCCATCGAAACTGGAAAGACATCGATTATAAATGGATTTTTACAATTAAACCAACAAATTCATTGAACATGACATTTATGAAAAGGGAATAAAGCCAATAAATGCTAATATTTCGTTTTATCGAATGATATAAAAAGAAAAAACTTTTCTAATTTTTTACAATACTTTCTCATCGCTCTAAGATCTTTGATTATTTAGCTTAGGAGTTGAAGTTTTCTAACGAAAGAATCAGAAAATGTAGAAGTTCATATCATTGTTAAGCGTGCAATCAAATAAAAATGGAACCGAAGTTTACCTTTCGGTTGATAAGCAACATCTAATGTACTATTCGGCTTCCAAAGATTCCTGTGGAAATTATCACTCTTTCTGGCACTGTGACAATGGAATCCCGATTGTAGTCGGGGAAACTTGCGGTGCCCTTGTGGTCATCATTCTTGTCGTTGCTGGGGTCATCTTTTTCCTTAGAAAACGAAAAGGATCCTCTTCCCTGAGCCGAGGCGATAATTTATAGTAGTTCGAGTTATATGAAAGCCTATGACCAACAGCGACAATTTCATGATCCATTCATTTCAGCGAAAAACTAAATTGTAATCATCATGAATTCAGTTTAAATCATGTGGTAACTAGATTGTCTTATGGTAATAATTAAATTTTTGTTGCAAGAAACTAACTTGAAGAGGATTTGAAGTAATTAGATTTGATGATTAATCAAACATTTGAATTTTGAACTTTTCTCTCTCCCTCTTTCCCTCTCCATCAATAGGTTTATCCCTCCTCGTGGACGGTGGGTGGACAGGTATCACTGGATTGACCATTGAAAAGATCATCTCTTGGATTGGCACAATTGGAATTGAAAACTTTCTCAACGGAATCCAAAAGATTCAATAGACTAGATTTAAGATCATCCATTTTAATCATGTTCTTACTTAAATCCATTCGTATCTGTTCAACTTGAATATTGTTCAATATCCTTTGAGCTCTGAATTGATTGGAAAAAAGAAATAAAGAAAAAAAGAAAAAAAGAAAAAGATAATCAATTAGTAGACTAAATGAGTAAGCAATGAGATTAAATGTTTTCTCGCTCGGTTATTCGATGTATCAATGAATCCTCAATAGTAGTTCATTATATCTTCTACTGATGAGAGATTTTGATGATTTCGTTATAAATTAATTCATCTTAGCAGCTGAACTAACATCACCAACTACTCCCCACCAAATAGCCAGACCATAATGTCTAATCTTCTCTTCCTACAAATATTTCCCCTCGCAGTATTACCAGAAAAATAATTTGTATTGACTTTCGTTACTTCCCATCTCAATGTTATTAAAGAAAAGCACACGAAATAATCAATATTGTAGGATCAAGCTAACTTATCCAAATAACGATAAGTGATCGCTTTATGCTTGAAAGCTTCATGTTCATGTTTCAGCTGTTTGACTTTCGAAAAGTCCATCTTTTAGAACCATAGAAAGATGAAACACTCCATCAATTTGGCTCAATCCTTTAGGTTGATTAATTAACCTCTCAATTGATTCCAAAGTGAAACAATCTCCATCAGAGATAATGATATTTGGATGAATGCACTTATTTATTTTCGAGTCTACTTAGAATATACTCTTGTCTTACAAATGTATGTTTCTAACAAAAGCTTTTAAATGTTTTCTGACAAGTTTGTTTATTTGATTAATCCAAATCTAATTAGTAACCAGTATAATTCAACTAATTAAATATTCTCAATGTTAATCTCGAGGCTCCTTTTTTACTCGTTACAATTAGTGAACGAATCGTTGTAATAAGCACCTCTCGTAACTATGGTTTTTGCTTTTCTTTATATCAATAGTTCAAAAAAGGTAATGTACTTGCCAGATGAAAGTATATCAACAAGAAAAAAGATCTGAGTTTTTTGTTATAAAAGTAACTGTAAGTGTTAAAGTAGCTGAATTTATCTTTCCTGAGTCGATAATTGTTCATTATTTTCTTCAGTTAACTATGAATTTCCTTGTTGCTTTTCTGTGTTCTCATTTTACACTATTCAATATATTTTGTTCAATAGTTACAATTTGGTTAACTATTTCTGTTCTTCGTAATTTTGTGTTTCTATATAGACTAACTCGATTCCCGACGTTTAAATCAGTCAAAACAATTATAGAGTTTCTTTATTCGTATGCACGTGGTGACTGTAAGTATCTTACTATTATTTCATAAACTGAACGCAATGAGGCTAGAGATTCAACTAGAATCAACAAAAGAATTTCTTTTATAGCTTTTGTATATTTTGATGTAATTCACTTGCAGCGAATATCCATCTTAAAGTGTACAATGAACTTGAATTTTATATGGAGAAGTATGGATATTGTGTAATTTGGCTTCCGTCATTTTCTATTATTTTTATTGGTCGACATGATCGAGCTCAAGTAAGTAACAACTTAAAGTTAATTTGGTTATTATAAAACTAATTCTTTACGTTTAATGAACATAGGAAATTGTTGGTAAACCAGCGATAATTGATAAGAGCGAGATCTTTACTCAATCTATAATATTTTTCGGCGACGGGTTAATTTCATCAAAAGGTGAGAAATGGAAGTCTCGTCGTCAGTTGATCCAACGACAGTTTTCTGCACTTTCAATTTCAAACTATCTGGAAACTATTCGATCGCTCTCGATATCTATAAATAAATCAATTGAACAATCGATACTGAATGAAAATTCATCAGGTAGTCCGATGGATGTAAGAGGCTTTTTTTCACTTCCAACAATGTCAATGATCGTTAGCACGGTTTCTGATGTTGAGCTTCCCGATGATGAATTGTCTTTTCTCAGCAAAGCCATGGAGAGATTTATTTATGAAACTCTCTGTCGATTTTTTCTACCGTTACTGAATCATGAAGTTATTTATAAAACTTATTCAAAAATCACTGGTGTTCAGAAGATGATTGATAAAACTAACCAAATTTTGATTCCTATTATAAGAGCTAAATATGATGAAATCAAATCGGATTTAATTGTTCAATCGAATATTGGAGAGGATATTCAAGATTTAGCTGATTTGAAATTGGAAGATCGACACAAAAATGAATCAATTGGTGAAATAAAAAAGGCGAAATGTTTATGTGAATTTCTTTTAAGAACTTGGATTGAGCCTGGAACTGGATTAACACCAGAAATCGAAACAGCCATTCTGGAAGAAATGAAAGCGGTGATAGCTGCTGGCTCAGATGGACCAGAGACTTTAATGACTTGGCTCATTTATATTCTTGGATGTTACCCTGAGTATCAGGAAATGATTTATGAAGAGGTTGAAAGTATTGACATTGAAAACTGGACAATTGGGACTGTCAACAGTTTTTCATTTCTCGATCAGTGTTTTAAAGAAGCTCTTCGACTTTATCCTCCAGTGCCATTTAAAGTTCGAGCTACTGAACATGAACAAATTGTCGATGATAAGATTCTACCCAAAGGTACGAAAATTATAATCAGCATCTTAACCATCTTAAAAGACCCAAAGATTTTCCATGAACCTTTTGAATTTAAACCTCAAAGATTTTCACCTGATGCTCAACCGAAATTTCCCGCTGGTGCTTATATTCCATTCGGCTTACGACCAAGAGATTGTATCGGTCAAAGATTGGCTCCGTTTTACATAAAGTTCATTATTGGAACAATAATAAAATCATATAGATTTAAGTCACATCGAAACTGGAAAGATATCGATTATAAATTGATTTTTACATTTAAGCCAGCAAGTTCGTTGAACATGACTTTTATGAAAAGGAAAGAAAACCAATAAATGTTAATATTTATCGAATGATATAAAAAGAAAAAACTTTTCTAATTTTTTGTAATACTTTCTCATCGCTCTAAAATCTTCGATTATTTAGCTTAGGAGTTAAAGTTTTCTAACGAAAAAAGTTGTTATCATTGTTAAGCGTTTAATCAAATTAAATTTTCTAATGGCTTTTGGATACCAAAAACTTGGTATTGTCTTTTATAATCCAACAAATACAACGAATACAAAGAGAAATAAGACAATGATGGAACCGAGTGGTTCTCACTTATTGCGATCAAAAAGGAACCGAGGCCTACCTTTCGGCCGATAAGCAACAGCTAATGTACTATTCGGCTTCCAAAGATTCCTGTGGAAATTATCACTCTTTCTGGCACTGTGACAATGGAATCCCAATTGTAGTCGGGGCAACTTGTGGTGCCCTTGTGGTCATCATTCTTGTCGTTGGTGGGGTCATCTATTTCCTTAGAAGACGAAAAGGATCCTCTTCCCTGAGCCGAAATGATAATTTATAGTGGTTCAAGTTATATGAAAGCCTACGACCAACAGCGACAATTTCATGACCCATTTCATTTCAGCGAAAAACTAAATTGTAATCATCACGGAGTCAGTTTAAATCATATGTTAACTAGATTGTCATTTGGTAGTAATTAAATTTTCGTTGAGAGAAATTAACTTGAAGAGGATTTGAAGTAATTAGATTTGATGATTAATCAAACATTTGAATTTTGAACTTTTCTCTCTCCCTCTTTCCCTCTCTATCAATAGGTTTATCCCTCCTCGTGGACGGTGGGTGGACAGGTATCACTGGATTGACCATTGAAAAGATCATCTCTTGGATTGGCACAATTGGAATTGAAAACTTTCTCAACGGAATCCAAAAGATTCAATAGACTAGATTTAAGATCATCCATTTTAATCATGTTCTTACTTAAATCCATTCGTATCTGTTCAACTTGAATATTGTTCAATATCCTTTGAGCTCTGAATTGATTGGAAGAAAAAGAGAAAAGAAGAAAAAAAAGAAATAGATAATCAATTGACCTACCTCTCCACCGAGAATTGACCTCATAATTTACATGATTGCCTTCACAGCGAAGACTCAGAAGGTCCCGGTCTCAAAGGCATTTTTAAGTTATCAATATGTATCATAATTGATAGTGTATAACATTGATAATTAGAGATAATGATGATGACATCTCTATTATTTCCGATTGAATTTTGACCAAAGCTGGACATATTAATTGTAATTGTAAAACATTTACAAGGTTATTAATTTCATTCGACACACAATCAAAAGATAAATTATTCAATAGAATTGATCACTATCCTTACTTTCTCCCAATAAAAAAGCTTGATTGTTTCCAAGAGATTTTGTAACACCAACAATCAACATATTAAGCTATCAATTGATTACCTAAATGACAAATAGAAATTAAATTAAATTATTTAATCACAAAGACCTTTTAAACGTAACAATTAGTGATGAAAATTGAAATTATGATTACAACTAAAACACAGTAACAGACCATGAATTTAATCTTTACGTGGCTTTTAATTGCTCACATTGTAATTGAATATCTAAATTTTCAAGGTGATTGTTGTTTAAAAAGTTAATCATAACAAGAGAATGCTAATTAAATGAGTCACAATCAAATTGAATCAACTAATCAAAAGTAAACACAAAGAGTCCAAGGTTTACAACTGAATTTATTGCTTCGACTGATATAAATTACACGTATTAATCTTTCCGGTGTTGTACCGATTTAACTAATATACACATATCACAATTAACTAATATCGTTGTGAGATTTAGTCAGATCAAGCATCTAAACAACAATTTTACACTAAAAATAAGATTTAAAGTAATTAGTAAATTGGCCGAGTTGATATTTATACAAGAGGAAGGAAAAAAATTCAACCACTAACTTTAGTTATTATTACAAGAATATTAATATCGAAATATCAAGATGATCAGTTGATCACAATCAAAGTCTAATCATTTGATTGTTACCAACATCACCGATTGTCCTGCATGAGGATTTTTTTAGTTACAACAATTTAATAATAAACAATCAGATTAACATGTTATTGGTTTGTTTAATTCTTAACCTAATCATGTTAACTTATTACAGTTTATAATGTTATTTGGTAATTATTCCCAATACTTTTGCTTGGAGCTTTACAATTATGCAGCATCCCAATCATTTCATAAAAACAGTTATAATAAATTCGGGTGATTCAGTCAAATTCAATCAATAAATATTTTAATCGCCATAATAGTAATACAATTGAATTCTTACAGAAAGCCAATATTACCTATTATTATCACGCAATCATATCTAACCACCAAGTGTATTGATTAACAAAAATTGTTAAGATTAGTTGAATTCTCTATTTTCTTAATAAAAATTATATAAATTCTGTCCAGGTTCAATCGGCGGTTGACGCATTGATCAAGTCATTTAAATAGTCTTCGTGATCTTCATGAACAGATACAAGGGGACTTCGATGAACAAGTATTTTAAATAATTATTAGGGATAATTCCTGGTATTATATTAATATGTGAATCCTGACAGTAAGTTATTTAAGCATTTTTTATGTTTGCAGAGGTTTTTTTTCAATAAGAGAATCAAAAACTCTTTATATAGATATACAGTTTTTGTGATATCATTGATAACAATCTAACGACTGAAAAAACTGAGAAACCAAACCAAAACGAAACTGTCTCAACTATATCCCATATATAATCTCTCAAAGTATGAGAATAGTCTCGCTTGTGATAAACTCCTGGATTCAAACGTACTATGATGTTGAGTTTTGCAAGAGGTTCTTCTTCTTCAGCTTCTATTACAGAAATTATTGAGTCATAAAACACGTAGTGACATTTATTTGAAGGGTTGTATAGCTGGAAACATCCTCCTAGGCTAGATTCAGTTTTCACATGTATATCAAAATAGTTTATGTATCGATATTCATGATATTCAGTATCATTGAGATCTACTAGAGTCTTGATATCAAGAGTTTTGTTGTTGAGTTTCAATGCAGCTTTGATCTTGCAAATATTGTAATCATTGAATGAGTATTTACTACAGTTGGGATTATCTTTTGTTTTATCTTTCACATATTTTGTAATACTTATCATTACTTTTTCATGGCTGATGGTCATATATGGGATATTTCGTTGCGATGAAGTATAAATGCCTTCGAACGAACTCTTTTCAGTAAACATGAGCGCAAAGTTAGATATATTATGTTCGATTACGAGAACAGAGTTGATATGTTGCTCTGTGATTTTACATGATATCTTTATCAAAATTTCACGACCGTCGATGTAATGACGAATAGAACAATTCAAGTCTTCACAAATTTGACTGGATGATGTATTTTCTATATAAACTTTGACAGAGAATAGTTCTGGTCTCAGCATTTTTCGAATTTCATCAATGGTGTGATTCCTGATAACAGAAACAACGTCATCTCCATAAAGAATACTCGTTGAATTATTAAGGGACTCGTTGTCGAGCGAAGTCATGATGTTTATATCAGGAAAGTCAAATTCAATCTCTTTGATATACTGCAAATCGGGTATAACATCTTCTGTTTTCAATTTACGAACAATTTGAGCAAAGCAACAGAACGAACATAGGGCAAAAAGTGAGACCACGAACTTGTATTTAACTATAAACATCAACATTTCGATCTGTGTTATACAAATGAAAAGTTTTCCCATTTCGATTTATGTTTATATCCATGCGCAGACCTACAATAAAAGATTTACTAAATATTTAAGTTGTCAAATGCGTTTGAGACGAATTTTTCGTTGAAAGTAACGAATAGAACGAATATCATCTATTAAATTGAAAAGTACAGTAAAGGGTATTTGCATTAAAAATCACTTTATGAATGAAATGAATAATCATATACATGTTTTCATATTCAATTACAGTTAAAATGGTCCTTTGGTGAAAATTTATTTAGAGTTAATTGAGATATAATCATCATTTCTAATTATCAATTTTACTAATGTAATTATGATGTGAAACATGGTAACTTACTAATTCTCTGGAGACCTAACCCTCTGGAGTCTACACTGCGAGGTTAATTCAAGACAAAGGGCCAGTCAGAACTATCAACTATATGAAAGTAATTAAATAGAAAATTAGGTTATAGTCGGTTACTGGAGTGAATTTCATGGTATAGAGTCAACTCACCAAGCCGATTAAAAGAAAAGCTTAAATCTTTGGGATTATCCTTTTAGGAGGTTATTTGGCTTGGAAAAGGGCAAGTCGTAACAAGTTAAATCAAATTTTTGATATAAATAATGAATGAAAGAGTTGAGAAGTTAGGTGATTTCTCGATTTGGTTTGGTTGGGTTTCGAGATGTAAACTTAATTAATTTGATTTTAATGGTCCGGAGGGCCTCGGACTCTAAACCTATTCAACAGAAATATCTATGATACCCAGAAAACTTTAATTTACTTTAGTTCAATTTCACAGAAACGATATCTCAATTAACCCCAATTTAATTTGCATCAAAGGAAAATTTCAACAGTAACTAAATATAAAAAACATGTTCAATGTTATGATTTTCATAAAGCGATTTTGGTAACATCTTAGTGATGACTATTAATATCATTTGGAAAATTAGCTGTTTATTTAAATTCATTTAAGGAATAGGTAAAATTCTGTTCATCGAATGTGCAAAACATGATTTTATGAAAGACAAAGTTTTATTTATAATTCCTGTCAGCAAGCTTATACCAGAGATAACTGAGCATCCAAACCAAAATGAAATGATTTCTGCTCCTTCCAAAACCAAATCTTCCAACTTATTTTCATAGTAGTGAGTGTATCGAGTGCTTGATATTGACATCAGCTTGAATAAAAGCTTAGATTGCTTTGTGTTGGGTCCCAGTATTTTAATAGATGCTTTATATTCAACATCATGGCATTTGCTGAATTGATAGCGAAACAGAGAGTAACATTCTTTATGAATTTC